GATCTTAATACAGCAAATATTCCGGTGGATAGAACCAATTCAGTCGTTCCAAGTGCTCCATCTGATAACACACCAGCAGGTTCAAGTTTACCAGTAAACTCCAACTTCCCCATCGAATTAGGTGAATCAACAGATCTTAATACAGCAAATATTCCGGTAGATAGAACCTATTCAGTAGTTCCAAGTGCTCCATCTGATAACACATCAGCAAGTTTAAATTTACCAGTGAAGTCTAACATCTCAATCGAATTAAGTGGCTCAACTGGTAATAACTCAGTTAGCATTGCAAATCCTAGCTTAGTAGTTGAGCGTGACTCTTCCTTAGGCGATGCAAATCAAATTGACTCACGGGATTCTATTAATAAGAATGAAAGAAGCCCGTCAGTTGATCTTAGTGTCCCTAAAACCCCAAGTAACCCAATCAGTTCAAGTGCTTCAGCTAACTCGCCGGTTGATGAAATAACAAATGTTCAAAACAAACCTTTAGAAAATAACTCGCCGTCAAGGAATCAGCCAGCTGAACCAAAGGCACCAATTATCTCAAACTCACCTTCAGTTCCCAAGATTCTAAGTCCAATCAATCACATTACTTCAACAAATATTAATCGAATGAGACCAAGTTCATCAATTAATCCAAACACAATTAAAAAATCGGTTCCAACCGATTTTAGTCCTTCAGCGGAGCCAAACACACCTTCTGACCACACATTACCAATTCATTCGAGTGTTTTACGCACTGGCTTTCCAAAATTGTACCTACACTCTCGTAATAAAGGAAGCAACTCTAATGGAGGAACAGATAATGGTTTCCTACTTTTACCAAGGCACACTATTGCATCTAGTTTTTCAGGCTTGTCCAAAAAGCCTGTAGAAATAGAGTCGAGTGAAATTAACTCTTCTAAATCTGGTATTAAAGATGAGGACTCAATTGAAGTAAAATCAAAGGACAATAGTAAAAAGTCAAAGAGGACGAAGAATTCCGGGGATAATAAAAATAATAAGCAAAATCAAGAAACAGAAGAAGGAGATTCAGGTGAAGTTTATTTTGCTGAAAAAAGCCAAAACAAGTATACCTCTTTGGAAAATAAATCTGGAGAAAATAGGAAAGAATCCAAGGATAGTAAGGATTTGGAAGAGAAAAAAATTAAAGTTGAACGCAAGCCTGATGACGAAGACGACGAAAGTTCATCAAGTGAGCAGAAGGAAATAATTAAGAAAATCGTAAAGGAACTGAAAGATAGCAAATGTGACGAAGATGATATTTACCCAGACCCTAAAGATTGCAAAAAATTCTACCGATGCGTGAAAAAGGATCACAAGACCAGGATAACTCATTTACGCTGCGAAAGTGGTGATCGTTTTGACTCAGACAAACTTAAATGTGTAGACAAACGGAAGGCCAAATGTTTATCGAAAGAAGATTTTATAGAAGAGTTCGCTTGAATCTCGTAATAGAAGCCATTGTCAACATTTCAAAGATAGTCCGAATTTGATTAATTATTATTCAATAGATTATGTACACGTAATATATTTTCGAAAACTTAAACCTGTAACACTAGTGATAGTTTCCAAATGACGATCGATTAAAAATATTCAACTGTAATTACAAGATTATCTTTTTTACTCCAAATCCCATAAAAGCCGTAACAACGATTACGAAAACTATGAATTTAAAAAGGTTCGTTCCAAATCCTACAAACATCGGCGCATTATAAGAATGTGTTACCAGTCGTTAGCGGTAATATATGTACATAATATACCTCTGATGCTTACTCTTGAAAGTTGGCGTCCTATAGCGCGTATTTTATTACAAGTTTTTAAGCTATCTCAGTTTCGAATTGATTCTCTAGAATTCAGGGTTAATACCTGATTATATTTTCTTAAAAAGTAGAAACATTAGCTACATTTAGAGAAATTATTCCTTTATATTGAAAAAATACTTATGATTTTCGTGAATATTTGGCCTCTGGAAGGTCTGTTTAAGTCCCCAACAACAATCTGCTTACATTCTTGCGCTCCGTTTCCCTTTATAACGCTGTGTATGAGTAGTGTGTTTATTTGAGTCAAACAAAAAATAACTTACATGATCGTTTGGTTCGGTCCAAGTCATTGGCTTAGCAAATGACATATTCTGGATTCTTCTTTAGCCCAACCCATCAGCAATCTCCCACAGACTATAAAATATTTATGTGGAACCCAGGATTTATTTAGATTCCTCATAGGAAAATCAAAATAGTCTAAATAGCACTATTCAATTAATGGCGTTACAACGCTGAGATTTAAAAGTTAATTCTCTACACACCTTTCTTTCGGGGTCATTAGAACACTTTCGTGGCATTATATTATAATGACAAAATGTTCGGGTCAAAACTTATGTGCTGTGTCTAAGAAATTGTAGTCAGGTCCATTTGAACTCCCTAATCTGAAGTTAGCCAATGTTTTGACGACAATTAAATGTCTTTTAAACAAGATTAGTTGCAGATTCATAAGTTAAATAATATGAACACCATTTTGGGATGCAGTGAAAAAAACACAAATCCTTGGAGAGAAGCAAAGCGTTTGTAAAATTTGGTTTGTAACGAGTCTTTATATTCGAAATACTTCACATATTCCATTAATGTAATATTTGCTGTTTCCAAATTGTAGCTTGCCTCGACCAGTTTCGGGACTTTGCTCTACATGCTTAACAAATGTTGCACCTTTCAATGTCTACGAGTTTACAAAAGCGCGCCAGTCGTTCTTCCTTTTCACTGCTTATAACCAATTGAAGATTCCAAGTCTGTGGCGGTCTTCTTCTTTCTCCGGCGCGTACTGCGTCGAATACTTTTAGAGTTGCAGTTTTTTCATCCATTCGGACAACAAGACCTGACCAGCGTAGCCGCTGGGTTTTAATTTGCTGCACTATGTCAACTACTTACTATTTACTTCTCAATTGCCTACTCCGTCCCAATAGCACCTGTTGGCAAGAGTTATTCTGCGTTAAATTTCGAGGCTGACATTGTTGTTGCTTTAATACTGATTCCACAATAGGCGAATTTATCTATGACTTCGAAATTATGACTGTCAACAGTACGGCTACGAGGTCTTACCGGAGACTTAATTCTGGTACCACGGGAAGCAGGAGCCCTTGGAGGTAACTCCAACCTGCTCATGGGGACTGGCCCTCCGGGTGGTTCTAGTTTATACCCAAATGCGGGTAGAATTGACATTTTGTCAGTTCCATGTGGAGTTGTATTGCAACCGGGTGCCGGACTCATAGTACGGCAGAGGTTTTAGATGGGCCTCGAACCCTTCCAAGGTAGTTAGTGTGTGTTAGTATTCGACACTGCCAATTGGTACTGCCTGGCATTTTCAGGGCACTGATCAACGATTTGATTTGATCCGATGTACTTTTGAGTACCGTGGAGTAAGGCTGTCGTCAGCAGGTACCTCCGTTAAAAATTCAGGTTGTAGTCAACAGTAACGTGGGAGCCAAGTCGGGAGTGCGACGACTGTTTGCTTGATGAGGGTAGATATTTCGTCTTGCCCTCATTCACTATAAAACTCATTTGCTTCGCTTCCTTATCGAAAGAACTAACAGCGAGGTTGAGGCCAATGATATCAGATAGGAACACTTCAAACGCTCATAGAAGACATCTTTGGTCACATCGCTCTTCGTTCTTCTCTTCCGTCGGGGCATGGTCGCGTATCATCGATATGTTGAAAAACTTCGCTTTTATGCGGATTGTGGCTAGACGTTCACCCACCGGGGAGAATGCCAGAACTTAGCGATGGATCTCTCTCGGATATATCTCCCACCACGAATTCCACACCGAAATTGCGCTCAGTCCTTGTCCCGTCCATCGCACTTCTTGGTTGGCGGTGATTTCGGCTTTTATTTTTAAGAGGACATCAACCAGTTCTTCAGCGCCACCTTCCCAATTCAGGGACTGGAGATTCCAGGTGTATACTTTTAACTCTCGTCCTAGGCTGTTGTTTCGTTTCCATTGGGAGCGTTTTTCCGCAGTGGGCTCCAAACCCAGCGCAGAACCCTGGGTAGGGATGGTTCGCCTTCTTAGTTTAGCTCGCCTTCAAACGGATGTTATTTTATTAGCCAGAGGATACTTGGTCTAAGACCAGAAGTCGTGAGCTGCTTGAGCCTTAAGTTAAAGAATCGTTTTTGGCCACTCCCAAATGAATGGCACTCAGAGAACTTTCCTCACTTGTGTGACACCATCCTCCATCTTTTCTATGTTTCTCATTTACAAAATAACTGGTGAGGATAGTATAATAATACTTTTTTATCCATTTTCCGTTTTCGGTTAATATTTTTCTTAAATAATCGAAGTAATTTTTCAAAACTTCAACCAAAATTAAGTTGGATCAGTCTTCTAGACACTTTGTAGATTGCAGATAGGTTTTGATAAGTTTCATTGAGAAACTACGCTCTCCTCTAGTTACGGACACAGGAAGTGTTGTAAATAAATTTTTGCGATGTGTTATAATTTGTTTAAACAAATTTCAAATATTTTATTACACATAATACTTTGAAAAATATTAATTTTATAATCATATATATAACTTTCCAGCAAATTCTATATAAATTCATTGTAGTATTCCAACATCAATCCCGCAGTACCCGTTGCTGAAACTCGTTCAGATTCGTTGGGGTTAATAGGTATTGCCCTGACCTTCTTTTGACGATTGACCCCAAATTCTCAATCGGATTGTGATGACTTTCGGCTGGCTACTAGTTTCGCCTCCCCAGCGACAGTGCCAGCAAAATTGTGTACCATCCGGCTGAAAAGATTAAATTATGATTCGTCCGACCAGACTACAAGCTTCCAGTTATCTGCTGTCCAATTCCTGGCGAATTTCAACCGTTCCGTAACATTCGTTACTGACAATGCTATTTTTTCTTTTAACGCTGCGATGTAGCCAATGTCGCGCTCTTCTGGCTTTCCATTTACCAACAAGCTTATTTATTCCTATGAATGCATTCATTACTGTCAATTGCTTTTTCCTTTCCATATATTTTATCATAGGATGTGCGTCTGTATACGTCAAAATCTTATTTTGGTCGCTTTTCCTGAACACTTGTGACCACGGATTGTTCTATTTTTATACTCCCGCAACAAAGTTGCTAAGGAGAGTATATAGAGAGTATAGTTTTGTTCACATAACGGTTGTTTGTAAGTACTAAACCTAAAAGAGTCAGATATAGGGTTATATATACCAAAGTGATCAGGGTGACGAGTAGAGTTGAAATCCGGATGTCTGTCTGTCCGTCCGTCCGTGCAAGCTGTAACTTGAGTAAAAATTTAGATATCATGATGAAACTTGGTACACGTATTTCTTGACTCCATAAAGTGTCATAACTAAGCCATAAATAAATATATGAAAGTGAGATAAGATGAAACTTGTCATGCGAGAGTGTAAAAGTTCGTTGACACCCGAACTTAGCCCTTCCTTACTTGTTAGCTCTTTGGATTCATTTGTGTAGCAGACCTGTTCTTGTGATGACTATACAAGTAATACTCCCCTAAATGTAAGGTGATAGCTTCTTTATAAATTTGAAGGACAATGAAGTTAATGTAATATCTATCAAACAAATATTTTTTTCAGAGTTCTTATATTAGAATGCGATGTTTTACTTTTTGTATTTTTAACCATTTTGAGAATTGAAAATGAGCTAATGAGCCGGCCCTGCATCCACCGTATAGAAGGAAGCCTTGCCTTTGTTCCTTTAATATATCTTGAGCTCAGTTATGGCTTTTAGAAACTCCCTTGACTCATTATCATCGATGCTCTCATGGTCTGTACAAAATTGAAGAAACTGGTAGCATAAATTGTCGCAAAGTTCGAAACATTTATCAAGTTTTTGTTATTTACACACAAAATTTTATTCTATCCATATTTCATGAAATCACCATAAATAATCTAATGAACTTTGTACACGTATTTTTTAAAGGTTAGAACGATCTTCATCCTGCCTAGTAAAAAACGAGAATGTTAGAATGGTAGACGATACGAGGGGGCGGATTTGCATTTTTCACGATTCTCAAAACCGTTTTTTTAATACGTATGTGTGATTGTAAACGCACTTGCCTTGCATTTCAAGAAATCACTCTTGCGGAAAGAATGTTACTCGATAAAGTTGGAGAGCAACAGTCCCACTCCCGTAATACAGATATATGCATCTTATCATCATACCTAGGAAAGAAACAATATCGATACATGGTACCGAATTAAGGCTTATTGCAACTAATTATGCAATACTTTCCAATCAAAGTTGAATTAAAAACATTTTAATTGAATAAAAAATTTATTGCAAGTGAAATAAGAGGATTTTAGTCAAAAACGCCGATCATCATAAATGGTTCATCATGAACAAATATTAGCGTTCACAAACGGCAATTACAATATAACTACTTGCTTACTCACTTAAAGTTAAGTTACAGTCAACACTTGCAAATTAGCACCTTTAGTAATTAGAATTTCTTGAAATGAGCATCAGAGAGAAAATTCGAGTTTTAAGTGTATTTTGAAAGAGCTAATAATTTAATAAAAAGTTGCAGCCATAAAATTATTTTTTACTAAAAAATCGTTGTTTCAGTTAAAAAAACATAAAAACAAACAAATAAAAGGTACATGCCAAAGTAAACAGAACTTAAAAAAAACAGAACAAATGATTTTTTTGGCAAAATCAATTTATTTTATTCAAAAAGTCTCATTCCGCTTCAATACAGCTTTTTGTACGGTGCAAACGCATGTCAAATGAGTGTTTTAGCTCGTAGCTTTCTTTTCATGGGAAATGGCATTTTTTCCGAAAAGGGAGAAGTCGCACGGTGCCATATCAGATGAATACCGGGAGTGGTTAATGGTTAAAATGAAATTTTGGTCAAATAATCGTCCTCCGAATATTGGATTCTGAGCAATTTTTACAAACCGTGCGAACACCTTTAGTAAGCCCAAATGTTCGGTCAAAAGGCGATAAATCGATGTTTTGAAGATGTCCAATTCCATTTTAATGAATTTCAATGATGATTTTTGATGAATTCACGCACAGTTTCCATGGAATTTCCGTTGATCACGGAATTTGGTTGGCCCACATGTTGATCGTCACTTTTGTCCTCACGACCACTTTGAAAACGTTGAAACCACTCGTGCATTCTGCTACGGGAGAGGCAATCATCGCCATAAACTTGTTTCATCAATTGAAACGTTTCGGAAAAAGTTTTACCAATTTTAATACCAAAATTTAATGTTGGCCCAGAGCATACTAAAATTTTGGAGGGAAACACATCTCCAGCCTGCTGAATGGCAGTGAAAGCATAACGCCAGGAGAAGGCGAACCCAATTCCCCAATCGATGACGATGGAACAGACGTTTCCCAACCATGAAGAAGTTCGAATAGCAATTAACCGTCTGAAGAACAACAAAGCAGCGTGGCACAGGGATCACTGACCGAGCTATTTAAATACGGTGGCGAAGAACCGATAAGGAGCATGCATCAGCTTCTTTGTAGAATATGGTGGACGAAAGCATGTCCGACGATTGGAATTTATTGGTGTTCTGTGAAAGATTAAAGCCCACGGCCAACAAACTAATTGGAACTATGAGGCTTTAGACCTGGAAAATCAACAACCGACCCCACTTCGCCAACTTTTCGTCGATTTCAAAGTTGCTTTTGACAGCACGAAAATGAGCTGCCTTTATGCACGATGTCTGAATTTAATATCCCCGCCAAACTTACGAGTGTGTAAACTGACTTTGAGCAATACCAAAAGCTCCGTCAGGATCGGGAAGAAAATAATTCGAGCTGCAGAACTTAATTGTACAGGTACAATATTTTATAAGAGTGTACAGCCGCTGGCGTATATCATATGCATTGATATCATTGGCTTCAACACCCGCGCCGTTAGTTCTGCTTTCTCCAAACTGGATAGGGAAGAAAAGCAAATTGGTCTGGCAGAGAACGAGGGCAAAATGAAATATCTACTGTCATCACACAAACAGTCGTCGCACTCGCGACTAGGCTCCCACGTCACTGATAGAGAAATGAAGTCCTCTCTCTAGAACAAAACCCACAGTCACTGTCGGATTAAGAGTATCCGAGGCCCTAAGCACAGAGCCTGTGTAGACCCTCTATTGCTTAAATGAAAATGGGAGGAATGGAATGCAAGGTAGAAAGTATAAAATTAAAGTTCAATATAGAAAGTGTAATAGGTATAATTTAAAACTTAAAACATTTTTTCCTTGCCTTAATCAGAGTAAACTGCGAAATTACATGTTCGAAATTTATCTGACGAAGTATGGCTGTCTCAATGCACATTAGTGCTAAAGAATTAAGCTTGTCTGGACGGATTTTTGTTCTTTACGGTTTTTTTAATATTTTTAGTTGCTGAGATTTAGTCGTTCAGCAGATCAGTTAGTAATCATTTAGCTGTGAAAGACTCTAAACGCCACTTCTATATTTGGGAATCACTTCATATAGATCGGAATGGGTGACCTTTGTTTCTGAAAATTCATATTTTATTCGAACACATTTGTGAAGATGATTAAATTCGTCGAAAAAGTTTTCATTGAAGTCTTCTGGGTAAGATTCTAAGAGCAATTTGATATATTTTTCATTTTCTGAACATGACTTATTTAGATACGCAAGAAATGAAAACTTTTGTGAAACTTCGAGATATACATCGCCTCTTCTTTGCATTTGAGCATTAAGTGTGTCAATTATTACATTGAAAGTCTCAATGCGGAATATGTCTCTAGCATTCAAATCAAGTTCCTCTGCATTTCCATTATTTACTTGTTTCTCCCTAATTAATTAGGAAAAATTTTTCTTGCCTCGCCTTCAAATTTTTCAAACGGATTTCTTATTTCAACGAGATGACCCGATAAAGAATCATACAAATTGGAACACGTTTTAGGATCTAATCAAATGGCCAGTGCCCTGTTGCGGTAGTTGTTACTCTGTAAATGCTTTTTCTTAACCTATTTAATAAGTCGGTGGTTCTTTTCCTGTCATATGTTGGCCATAATTGTTTACTTATGACGCATTTTGTTATGTTTTTGTTGAAATATACTTCCAAGTTTAGGTATGTTCAAGAGGTTCCATGCTTTTTAATTTTTTTTTTTTTTTTTTTTTTTTGTGAATTTATTATTTTAGTAATAATTTAAAAAAAAGCTGAGAAAAGTGTGGTGGCAGTTGTTCCTCAAAGTTGAGGGACTTTTCCAATTTTAGTTATGAAACATAAAGTTACAATTATTTTTGAATAATGCCGTATCCTTTATACGTGTATGTAATCAATAATGAAATCATAGATATAGTAAAACTTACTTGAAAACTTTGTGTGGGGTAACGATAAGTGTAGTTTCAATCAAAGCCACTCCATAAATAAAGTATGTAAGTACGTGCCGTAATGCATATGGGCGCTATCATTTGCAATGCAAAGACAACTCACTCACCCGGTCTCACGGCGGCGCGATGCGGCGTGCATGGTGTGTATGAAGGGTCACTCCCGGACTTCTCGCACCTTTTGATTTCGGACATATTTATTGTGGATGAATCTCGTGATGAGCTGTATGAGATATACGACGACATTGACATAGTTCATCAAAGAGACAGCAGCTGCACTGGTCATACGTATGGATGTCGCAAAAAGAAGAAACGGCTGGCGTGCTTTTGTTAACTCACCTATAATCGCGTAAGCGGTGTCAACGCCAGTAAAGAAAAAGAAACATATACATCTGTCTTCAAGGGTTGGTGACTCATGATTCAGTTTTTTTCAAATTTCATATTAAAAAGGCTGACATTAGTCCAAACAGTTACATCGTTTATTTTTAATTTAATAACAATAATATTCGAGGCGACTATATCAAGGACTTGAAAGCCAGGAATCGGGAGTTTGACCTCTCCCAGCCTTGCATATCTCCCGTAATGGCTGATTTACACACAACTTTTGCTGGGCTCTCCTTTGGATATTTGCTTTAACGAAAAAGTTCGATGTACATACACATTTGTATCAGTTCGTTCACATTGAGGCAACGCAACGTAAAGTGAAGCAAAATATTGAGCACTTGTCAACTTTTTACGCTTGCCCAGTAGCCGACACCATTTTTATTAGACAAGTATTGAAAAAAACGTTCAATCTTAAATACCCATTGCTTTCTTCACTTCGTTGTTAAAATATTAATTGCCAACAAAGTGTGGATTCTTGGATTTAACTATAATAATATTCTTATCAGAGGTTTTGGAAATAAAAACAGATTTGTTAAGATGTTGCCATTGGAAACCGTGATTTCGTTTTTACAAACCTAATGATTTTAACTAGCTGTTAGTTTGTCTCTTCCACATCGAAACTGCTGTTTGCAAAAAACATTTGTTTTTAATTCATAGTAAATATTTCAATTTCAAAAAATTTATATTTACCATTTAAAATATTAGAAGAAGGCATTTAAGAGACCATTCAAATCCATTTGAAGTTCCTGGTAGACTGTAATATATTATCAATTTCACATGTTATAAATTTTTCGTTTTAAAATTACATTTCAAAGTGTGAATTCGATTTTCAAAACATGTCTTTTCATATTAAAGTCACATAAAAAATGTTGGGTTTCTGGAACAAGCAAATTCGATTTTAAAATTCTTCCTTCCTACCTTCGGTGCAAAGATCACCTCGCTGTCCTCCATGGTTCAGGGATAGAACAAGATGAACAAGGTAGGACAGTAGAACGTCCCCTTGTTGCTGAAGCTCTGGAAAGATGACATCCACCCCCGCAGAATTCAATTTTGAAAACGAAGTCGTGGCCCACCTGACTGAGTCCGCAGTAAACAGTTGTCTTGCGACTACCCAATCTATGCGAATTACAAAGCTTATAGCCCTGAGAGACGAGCAAAATTAATGCGCCTTAAGCAACGCTAATGCGTATTGAAATTTTATGGTGATAGACGGCAGACTGGTGCATTTAGACAGCTGATTGTGATTTTTTTTATTTATTTAAAAAAAGTGAAATGAAAATGATTAAGAGAAATTATTAATAGAAATTTTTTTATTTTTGGAAAATCAATATAAATTTAACGAAAAAATTCGTTCAAAGATAATAGAGGGAAATTAAAAGCAATAATTGCTTGTAATGCGAAAAAAGTGTGCGGGAAAGTTAAGAATATTGGAAAAATGGATAGCAAAATAGTTGTTTATTTTCTGCGATCTAAAAAAAAATATTGAAATTTGATTTGTTAATATATGTACTTGCTCATAATTTAGATAGCAATATAAAACTACTTACCTCTGATACTGTAAACGCAAAGGAGGCAGCAGACTTTAAGCGACACCTGTCAAAAAATAGCAAAAATCGTCCATGTTTTAATAACCCATTCACAATAGCAACAAAACAATAATTTTGCAGTGCTGAATCGATATACAAGCCAACCTAACATTTCATAAGCCAATATAATTATGTTGGCTAAATTTCCATTTAAAAAAACTCGTCCATAGTAAATATGAATATCAAAAAATGTTTTGTAAATTTTGCTACAATTTAGTAAAATCAAAATTTATTTATTTTACATAAATGTACTTCGGAAACCCTGGAAGGTTGTATGCGCCAAAATTTTTGTAATCGCGCCTGCAGTCTTGTTTATTTTACCCTTTTTTGGTAGATCGTTATTAAAGAGTTAAAAGGTCACGATTCCATCGAATTTGATATATCAATTATTACAAAGGTATTAAAATGAGCGGTGACTCCAGTAAACTGAATCAGTGTGCTTCTGAAATAAATGAGGACGAGCAACAATATTTGGACCTTATTCAAAGAATAATTACTAAAGGTAAATTGAGTCCACTTTCTTACCTAAACAATAATTCAGTCTGATTATTGCAGGCGTGGATCGATCGGATCGAACTGGTGTTGGTACACGATCAGTTTTTGGTGCCCAAATGCGCTTCGATCTCCGAAATAGTTTTCCATTACTAACTACAAAGCGAGTATTTTGGCGTGCTGTCGCCGAAGAATTGCTATGGTTTGTTCATGGTAAAACAGACGCTAAAATACTTCAAGAAAAAAATATTCACATATGGGACGGAAACAGTAATAGGGAGTTCTTAGACAAATGCGGGTTTTCTGATAGGGAGGAAGGTGATCTAGGCCCAGTTTATGGTTTTCAGTGGCGTCATTTTGGGGCCAAGTACAGAAACTGCAAGGACAGTTACAAAGATGAGGGTATAGATCAACTTCAGCAAGTAATTGACACTATCAGAAATAATCCAAATGATCGACGTATTATAATGTCTGCTTGGAATCCTGTCGATATCCCTCAAATGGCGCTACCACCTTGTCATTGTCTTGCACAATTTTTTGTTGCCAATGGAGAGTTATCTTGTCAATTATACCAACGCAGTGCCGATATGGGATTGGGTGTACCATTTAATATTGCCTCGTACGCTTTGCTTACCTATATGATTGCTCATATTACTGATCTCCGACCAGGGGATTTCGTCCACACTTTGGGCGATGCACATGTCTATAATAATCATATTGAAGCATTAAAAGAACAGTTAACGCGAGAACCTCGGGCGTTTCCAAAATTACTTATTAAGCGTGAGTTAAAATGCATTGAAGACTTCACGTTTAAGGACTTCGAACTTATTGACTACAATCCGTATCCAAAAATTTCAATGGAAATGGCTGTTTAATACAATCTGTATCCAAAAATTTCAATGGAAATGGCTCTTTTAATACAAACATTTAACTATATTCCTATGTATAAAAGTGTATCTGAAATTACTGATTTGCCAATTTTATTACATACAAAATCCGAATAAGTGTAAGTTAGCCAACTAGCGTTTACATAGATTCACTAAAACATTTTTTATGGACAATAAACCTGAAAGGCGATGTAAAATTAATATATAAAAGTAAAATCGAAGTAAAGCATATCAAATGGCTCTCACTGTAAATACGTTTTTACTGTTCTTAGTTACTTAAATCTTTGGTTCTGTAATTGTTCCATTTTATTTTCCTCACAAAAAAAAAGGTTTTAATTTGACTAAAATTTCTTTAAGAGGTTCCCAGATTCTGCAGCGACAAAACAAAAAAAAATAGTTCAAATAATATAACACGGGAAATAATAGATATACTTTTCACGTACAGTCCGACGAAATGTACGATATGCAATTTATAAATGAATATACACATAATACCACATCACAAAATTTGGTAGCTCTAGAACATTTCAACTTCCACGTATTTCATTGAAGTTGATATGTAAACACTATTGAATTACAAATTAATTAAATAAAAGCAGTGATATTTCAACACAAAGTGTCAATCTTCCTCTATTGGAATTGTACTTTGCCACTCGTTGGGATTAACGAAAATATCGGATATAGTCCCACGCAACGTGAATATCCCTCTATTAAGTGGCACCGGTCGAGGCTTCTTGTCCACCTCAGCTAACCATTTCTTCCATGCCTCAGCGGCCATTTGCCGTCGCTGTTCTTCCATAACCCGACGTCGTTCTTCTTCTTTTTTCTTAATATTACGACGTTGTTCCTCCTCTATTTGTTTTGTGCGTTCCCAAGCTTCCAGTTTAGCTTGTGTTTCTTCATCGATAATTTGAGATTTTGATGATTTTTCTTCCAGTTCAACATGTGTTTTGATTATTTCATGCGAACGAGTTTGGCGTGATTTTGTTTTCAACCACTGTTGAAACTTTTCTTCTGAAAGGCGTTTTCTTGCTTCTTGTTCCTTGCGTTTCTGCTCTTCAGCCTTCCGGCGACGCGCAGCTTCATCAGAAATAAGTTTCCTATCAAAGCGACAATAAAAAATATGTAAAATTAATTTTATAAATTACTAAGATATCGAGACCTTTTGGCAGATAACCATGTTTCATATGCTAAGTCCGGTTTTAAAACAATTTTAGCTGCTTCGCAGTGTTTGCGATAAGAGAAGGTGTAATCACGTGTAGTAGGATAGTTATCTTCCGACTGTAAATCCAAAGGTGGCACAATATCGCTCTGATTTTCCGATGTCGGCAGTAGTTTACTCTCATCATTTATACTACTAGTCTCACTTTGATCTGGTGTTTTTTCAATAAAAGCTGCAGGATTTATATATCTAAAAATTATGAGCAAACTCACATTCATATTTAAATACTTCTCCTTTTTGTGGAAACAATTTTCACGAATTAATACCTTACGCTAGCCTTTGTCTCGCAACTTCGAGAACTTAAATTGACGCGAGACGTGTTAGTGCTGGTGCTGCTTGCACTCAAGGAAATCGCCAAGCTACGCGCTGAATGGCGACGTTCTATTTCGTTACCATTGTCGTCCACCCGGGTGGTGTAAAAAGCCATGACAATAAAGTTCCAACAGGTTTATATATTACTTTACCGTAAACGTAGATACCAGGAACCGTTTTCAAAAATATATATATATTTTAAAATATATGTTTTTGTTTTTGTAGAGTTATTTGGATCAAAATTTGGACAGAAAAATATTCACAAAAAATGAATTAAAATGGAAATAGATATGTTAATAAGCGCTTTGAAATATAATTTTGAGTGTGTTGGAATAGGTTACCCATATTTTAATAGTTTTCCGAAACAGAGTTTACCTAACCACAGTAGTGATTTCGTTTTCAACAACCATACATGTATAATATAAGAAAAATTTTGACATTAAATATAGTTGCTGTTCGTACAATAGACAGCTTTAGGTTATCAGAATTGACTCGGCTGGTAAGTTTAAGTAGTGGCCTAAACATACTGGTTGTATACAATCTTCATAGTATGTTTATCTCTTAAGACTTAATAAGTTATTAACTATCGCGTAAATTGATGAACTTGCATGGCCGGCTTAATATTTGTTTTAATGCCTGAAGGAGCTTTATTTATTTGACCGACTCCACCAGGACTGACAGAAGTCATAGGTGCAGAAGCGCGCAGTGGGGGTACCATCATATTGGCCGAACCTGTTGCTACATTTAATGAAACATTTGCTTTCAATCCTTTGCCCATTCCAACCGCAGACACCAACGCATGAGTATCTGCCATACTGCTTGTTTGTTGAATTCCTTAAAAATAACCAATACGTTACTTTTACTTCAAAAGAAAGTTTATGTCGGTTTCAAACCTGCTCTGGTGGATGATTCAATCTCCCATTCCTCGCGAGCTTTGCACACCATATCTAGTACGTGAGATACGACTTTATTGTATTGTGTAACCTGTTTCATGGCAACTTCTGCAGTTAAATTAGCAGCTTTTTGTTCTCCTTGAATTAACTTTTGTTCAGTAAGGGGGTCCGGTTTCGTACGCAAATAATCTGGTACAATATCATGTGAAAATACAGGAACACGTCCCTGTGTAAGATTTATCAACGACTCGTCACGATCTTGTGATAGCATTAATGGAAGAACAGTCCGATTACGTAGCGGTGGGCATACTTCTTTAGCCAGGATTTTTGATAACCCTGTCAACTGAAGATAATTTATTAAAATGTTACTCGTGTTCTTATAATCTTATAATTATTTACATGACTGGATATTATGGCGAAATTATCAAGAAAAGTTGGCCAGTTAATTATTTCATACTCAGTCTCAAGCTTTTGTATCATCCCACCAATGGACATTTTTAAGTCATTTAGTCTACTTAATATAGCATCTAATGTCATTTCCATTTGTTTTTCTTCACGCTGCATTTTAGAAATTGCGAAGCCGTAACCCTAAATGTAATATAACTAAATAAAAAACGATGGACTTTACTATCCTGTTAAAATTGAAAAACAAAATATTCAACTAAAGCATTTCGATTAAATTCATATCGATTATCATCACTGGGCATCTCGACAGGCAATAGATGTTGTCTGGAAAACCGTATTGCTAGCAATATTGCCAAGGGGTTGTAACATTTGTCTTAATACCTATCTTACCATTTATTGAGAAGTATTGAATGACCCAACAACGAGGTACGTTCGTTCTTCCAAAGTCGAGCGGTTAATTGAAATGTACTTTTTACAATTATAATATAAATTTATTGTAACAGCATTTTTGGCACGATTCCGATTACTTTGGTGGAGAGGTAAAAAACCCGAATTTCAGTATAAATGGGGTATGTGCGGATAGGGGAGCTTCTCTAGAAGAGGAATCTCCAAATATTATCAAAAAATAATTAATATTTTTTAAAATATTCAAATTTAAAAGATAAAAAATTTGCACCAAAAACACTTGGTATTTCTGTATCACTAAATTTTTCTACGTTTTTTACCTTGTATATTTATATATACACTCTAAGCATTGAAATATATACTTATGTATACATATGCTGTCTCTTATACACATCTAGATGTGTATAAGAGACAGATATAATATTATTATATAATTTTACTAATACTTATTTGCTTAATAAATTGAAAAAAATAATATCCATATGCAGGAATGAAGAAATTTTTGCGAAAAAGAGGAATTTCAACGAAGTGCTCTATCATCACATGGTAGTGATCCATGTCGTCGTAATCAAACGAGTGTAAAATGTAATTTTTAAAATAAAGATTCTTTAGGTAAAAAACCTGCTATAAAATGTGGATTTATTTAAAAGTTTATAGTGGAATTTAATTAATTTGAAGTGAAAAATGTGAATAAAGGTCGAACATGCGTAAACTAAACGTTTGCAGTACCTAGAACCTATATATTTTGTAATCAGGAGAACTTCTCCTTTCCAACGGTACCTGCAAATCGCGGCGCCAAAGAAATCAGAATTGTGCCACATTTTTAAGAATCTATATATTTGTCTCCATTTAGACAATAAATTCTTTTTCTCCGCATTTTTAATTAACTTTTGTAATTTTTTTCGATTGGATTATTGTATGCATACAAGCCCATAAATTACATTACTTTTTATTAAAATTCAAAAAAAAAATACTTCTTAACAGGCTCTCGAAGTCTATTTTTCAAACTTCAGCGTCACAGCTGCTTTTATTTAGGTATACGCCATACAAGATCTATGGACATGAGGTGTTTTTAACAGTAATTTGCCGCTGCCTCTTTTATTTTGGGATTTTTATTTAGACATCGCGCGTTAAGAGAATTTTCAGGAAAATTGCAATTTCTTCGTTTTCAARCTTTACTTATGAAAGCGCTGTCAAAATCGAATTTGCAACCAGGGATAAAGGGATTTTTAGGATTTTTATTTAGACATCGCGCGTTAAGAGAATTTTCAGGAAAATTGCAATTTCTTCGTTTTCAARCTTTACTTATGAAAGCGCTGTCAAAATCGAATTTGCAACCAGGGATAAAGGGATGATCAACTTTTCCCACAACAACTGATTCTACGCACCGGAATTGACCCGGATGAGAGAAAACAGACTGCTTACCTCCCAACGTTACGATCGACCACAACATGTGCGGAAAAAAAGAGCCCGAAATGCGTGGGTGTAAAGAACTTTACAAGCTGGCCGACTAGGGTAATGCTGACTGATTCCTAGAGCATACTGAAATTATGGAGGGAACACTTCTTCAGCTTGCCTACCCGTCTGAAGAACAACAAAGCGGCGGAAGTCGATGGATTTCCGGCCGGGCTATTCAAACACGACGGTGGAGACTGATAAGAAGCTTGCATCAGCTTCTTATGGTCATACGAAAGATTGCCCAAATATTGTAATTTAAATATGCTCTGCCAAGTACCGTGGGATAAGCCTCCCCAACATCGCATATAAGGTTATATGGAACGTATTGTGTGAAAGATTAAAACTAATTGGATCTATCAGTGTGGCTTTAGACCTGAAAAACCAACAACCACCAGATATTCACCATTCGCTCGTTTCGTTGAGCAATACCAAAATCTCCTTCAGGATCCCGCGCCTTTAGTTTTGCTTTCTCTAGACTGGATAAGGAATAAAAGCAAATGTGTCTGGTGGTGAACGAGGGCAAAACGAAATATAACAGTCTTCGCGGCTAGGCTCCCACGTCACTGTTGACAGACATAACTTCGAAGTTGTATATAATTTCGTCTATCTTGGAATCAGCATCAATACCAACAACAAGGTCAGCCTCGAAATCCAACGCCGCATACCTCTTGCCAAAAAGTGCTACTTCGGACTAAGTAGGCAATTGAGATGTAAAATCCTTTCTCGACGAACAAAAACAAAAATCTATAAGTCACTCATCATCCCCGTCCTGCTATATGGTGCAGAGGTACGGACGATGACAACATCTGATGAGTCGACGTTGCGAGTTCTCGAAAGAAAAGTTCTACGAAAGATTTATGGTCCTTTCCGCGTTGACCATTTCGAATTTCTATGGAACCATGAGCTGTATGAGATATATAACGACATTGACATAGTTTAGCGAAGTAAAAGACAGCGGAGGAAGAGGAAGACCTCCACTTCGTTGAAAAGACCAGGTGGATGTTATTTCGCTAATCTAACCCCGTTTAGATCGATCCGATGATCAACTTACTCCAGAGTAAGAGCGTTGTTTTTTTATAGCAATTCCACTATAGAGCAGACAAAATAATAATTTCTTGGCATTTAAATTAAAGACGTTTTCTTAATCAAGTCCTCTCATAGAAAAATTGAAAACTTGGCGAGATATATTCTCCGAATTTGGAATGAGTGATTGACTGAGACAATGGAGCAATCTCCGAAGAAATTATTCAGATAGGATAATTATAGCTGCCATATAAACTGACCGATCCAAACCAAGTTCTTGTGAGGGATCTTTTGCATCTGCGGAGGGAATTATAGCTTCGGTGTAACAGTAGTTAGTTTTTTCTTCTTTTAAATAAGTATCTTTAGCATTTCTAACATAAGTGTTTGTCTGAAAAATTACCTCAATAATTTTTAAGAGTTATAAATTTTGTTGTTAAAGCAACATGGGCTTAGAATGAACCCAGTATTTGGCATATATCTACAGCGAAAAATTATCTCGGGCCGATATATATGATGATGTATATCATATATCAAAAATTAGTTTAAACTCCAATTGTTTTTTAGCTTATTAATGTTATTCGCCAGAGTTAAATATTTATATATTTATATTGTTTATTTTAGACCATAATAACTTAACAACAAGTATAATGTTATGCTTATAGTTATGGTTATTCCAAGTATAAGTATATTCCTTATTTTCTATTACTAATGATAACGTTTAATTAACAAGTCGGTCCACGACTAGCATCAGAATTGTAACAAAAATATTAAAATACAAATTTAATTGCATTTAACAAAATTTATGTAGTCTAAACAATATGTGTATATGTGGCCTTCATATACTAGCTTTATTTATTGTTCAAGATACATGACTTCCGGTATCTTTTTTTCTGCAGTTCTTAATTTGTTATCAAATTCAATTGCTACTTTCTTATAATACGGTCCCAACTCTTCCCTTACTCTGTCATACCATTTACCCAACTTTGGATGATG